CCAGGTCCAACAGTCCCAGATTTTCCACGGTGTCCATGTGTGTATGTGTATAGGAAACAGGCCACGCCTCGAAGGACGCTCCCTTTCAGCTAACTGGCTGCTCAGAGCATATACATCAGCTGCAGCAGCACACTAACCGGGAACTGCGTCAGCCACTCAGAATCATGGTCCAGGCCAGTTGGCACACCACCTCGCCATCACAACTTCTCCATCCCTTTCCCTCTAATGCTTCTTCACCTGTGATGCTTCATTGCTGCTGCTGCCCCTGTAACCTCTGTTGTGGTGGTTTGGTGCTGTCGAGTGGGTTTCAACTCATAGTGACCCTGTGTACAACTGAAGAAAACACCGCCCAGTCCTGCACCAGCCTCACAATCCCTGTTACATTGAGTCCATCACTGCGTCCCATGTCAGTCCATCTCATTGAGGGTCTTCTCTTTTTCACTGCCCCTCCACTCCACCTAGTGTGGTACCTTGCTCCAGGGACTAGTCCCTTCTGACATGATCAGAGTATGACAGATGAAGTCTGGCCATTTTCACTTCTGAGGAGTATTCTGGCTGTACCTTCCTCAAGACAGATCTGTTTATTCTTCTGGCAGTCCATGGTACGTTCAGTATTCTTTGCCAGTACCACAGTTCAAAGACATCAGCTCTTCTTGGCCCTTCCTTACTCACTGCCCAGCTCTCACGTGTCCAGCATATGAAATTATTGAAGAATACCGTGGCTTGGGTCAGGCGCACCTTAGTCTTCAAAAAGACATCTTTGCTCTTAAACACTGTAAGCAGGCCTCTTGCCACAGATTTGCCCAATGCAATATATTGTTTGATTTCTTGATTGCTGTTTCTATAGGCATTGATTGTGGATCCAAGTAAGATGAAATCCCAGACAACTTCAGGCATTTTCCCGTGTATCATAATGTTACTTTTTGATCCAGTTGTGAGGATTTTTGTTTTATGGTGAGGTGTAATCCATACCATTCTTCATCAGTCAATGCTTCAAGTCATCCTCACTTTCAGCAAGCAAAGTTGTGTCGTCTGTGTATCTCTGGTTGTTAATGAGTTTTTCTCCAATCTTGATGCCACGCTCTTCCATGAAGTCCAGCTTCTTGGATTATTTGCTCAGCCTACAGATTGAATAAGTATGGTGAAAGAATACAACCCTGACATACTCCCTTCCTGATTTTAAACCATGCAGTGTCCCCTTGTTCTGTTTGGACGACAGCCTCCTGGTCTCTGTGCAGGTTCCTTGTGAGCACAGTGAAGTGTCTGGAATTCCCACCCGTCTCAGTGTCATCCACAGCTTGTTCAGTCCATGCAGTTGAATGTCTTTGCACAGTCAGTGAAGCACAGCAGACGTCTCTCTGGTGTTCCTTGCTTCCTCTCTGGCATCAGCCGTGCGTCCCTCGTCCCACGCCCTCCTCTGCACCCAGCGTGGGTTTCTGACGGTTCCCTGGCGGTGGGCCGCTGCGGCTGCTCTGGAGTCTTCTCTGCTTCCGGTGCCCTTTGCCTCTCATGATCCGTGACCTCGGGTGCGCCTCTCCCCCTGGCACTCCCCGCCCATTGGTGGGCCTTTCCCGCTGGGGCTCCTGTGCCTCTTGCGCTCCCTTTCCTCGAATGCGGCGTTACACGAATGCTGCATCACGGTGAATGCTCCTTCATCTCTGACGCTCCGTTAACGCCAATGCTCTGCTGTTCCTGACCCTGCTTTACCTCTGTACCATTTACCTCAAGGACCCCTTACCCTAGTACTCTGTGGTACAGGGGATAGTACCCTTCCATCCAATCTTTCTGACTTCCACACAATGATTAGATGGGCCTAAGGGTGGAATGTTATGGATTGAATTATGTGTTAGGCTGGGTTCTCTAGAGAAGCAAAACTGGTCAAGCTTATATATAGAGAGAGAAATTTATCTTAGGAAAATGGCTCACAGTTATAGAGGCTGGCAAGTCTAAGTTCCTGGATCAAACGTCAAGCTAGAGGCTTTTCCCAGCTCACACAGCTGCAGGGGCTGACGAGCTCAGAGCTGGCAGGCAGTATACTGGCTGTTGACTCCAATGAATGATGAATCCAAGATCTCCAGGCTGAACAGTGGATTGTTCACTCACGGACAGTGGTAGGCAGCACAACAGGACCCAGATCCACAGAAGTTTCTCTCATTTTCCCAGGACGTCCATGAATGGGAAGCAGGCCACACCCCTAGGGAAGCTCCTTTCAAGATTGGCTAGTCGGAGCATATATATCAGATCTCATCATGGGAATAACCATATCACAATTTCTTAAACCACTCAGAACCATGGTCCAGCCAAGCTGACACACAACCCCAACTATTCACAAATTGTGTCTCCAGAAGGGTGTCAATTTGCCTGGACTGTGATTCTCAGTATTGTGTGGCTGTCCTCCATTTGGGATGTGTTGTAAATCCTGGCCTCTGTGCCCACTGTTACGGTCCCAGTTTACAGTGAGTTGCCCATTTTGTTAGGAGGCAGAATGAGGCTGGGAGGTGTGTTGAATCATTCACACAGCATGTCCTCACTGTCACTCTTACTGTTGGGTTACATGAACCCATTTAGGTCAACATTTTTCAAACCAGCATTTCAGAGCTCCAAGAAGAAAGCCAGGAGTGTCCGCCTAGAAGCATCCTTGCCGCTGGAGAAATACGTGTATGTGCCAGTGGCCACATTGATTCCCAAAAGGACAGGCCTTTCTGGGGCTGATGGGCATGGAGTAGATGGGCTGGAAGTACCACGGCGGTCATAGGTGAAAGAAATGATACCAGTTGGCTTTGATAGCACCTGGACCTTGATCCTGAGTGTCGTTGACCTGCAGCCTCCTGTCTCCCCCTTGGACAATGGATTTATGCTTTCACCCCTTACTGTAAGTCAATATCGGGTTGTGGAGTTGGGTGGTCTGGCTTCTCAACCAATCTCGTTACTTTCTAACTAGCACCACTGCCTTGAGCCAGGCTGGCATCTCTCCACTTGTGTCCCAGTGCATATCATGTGCATGTCTCAGGGCGTCAGGGAGGGCTGCGCCCCATCCGTACACGTGTACCTCACGTGCACATCTCAGGGAGTCAGTGAGGACTGTGCCCCATTCGTACACATGTACCTTACGTGCATGTCTCATGGAGTTGGTGAGGGCCGCGCCCCGTCCGTACACATCTCACGTGCATGTCTCAGGGCATCACTGAGGGCCGTACCCCATTCATACATGTGTACCCTACATGCATGTCTTGGCATCAGTGAGGGCCACACCCCGTCTGTACACGTGTACGTCATGTACACATCTCAGGGTGTTGGTGAGGGCCATGCCTCATTTCTACACGTGTACCTCGTATGCACGTCTCGGCATTGGTGAGGGCCACGCCCCATCCATACATGTGTACCTCACATGCACGTCTCAGGGAGTCAGTGAGGACTGTGCCCCATTCATACACATGTACCTTACGTGCACATCTCATGGCGTTGGTGAGGGCCGCACCCCGTCCATACAGGTGTACCTCACGTGCATGTCTCAGGGCGTCGGTGAGGGCCGTACCCCATTCATACACGTGTACCCTACATGCATGTCTTGGCATCGGTGAGGGCCACACCCCGTCTGTACACGTGTATGTCCTGTGCACGTCTCAGGGTGTTGGTGAGGGCCATGCCTTGTTTCTACACGTGTACCTCGTATGCACGTCTCGGCATTGGTGAGGGCCACACCCCATCCATACATGTGTACCTCACATGCACGTCTCAGGGAGTCAGTGAGGACTGTGCCCCATTCGTACACATGTACCTTACGTGCACGTCTCATGGCGTTGGTGAGGGCTGCGCCCCATCTGTACACGTGTACCTCACGTGCATGTCTCAGGGCGTCGGTGAGGGCCGTACCCCATTCATACACGTGTACCCTACATGCATGTCTGGGCATTGGTGAGGGCCACACCCCGTCTGTACATGTGTACGTCATGTACACGTCTCAGGGTGTTGGTGAGGGCCATGCCTCGTTTCTACACGTGTACCTCGTATGCACATCTCAGCATCAGTGAGGGCCATGCCACATCCATACACGTGTACCTCACGTGCACATCTCAGCGTCGGTGAGGGCCACACCTCGTTTCTACACATGTACCTCACGTGCACGTCTCAGGGTGTTAACGAGGGCGGCATGAGGACTCTTGCATGTGCTGATAAAGGTACGGTGGAGCAAACCCTCACGATTGTGAGGTATACAGCCTCCCATCTCTGTCTACCCGGCTGTCCCGTCCACGGGTGGGATGCAGGCCGTGGGATGGGTTCTCTCCAGCAGTGGAGCTGATGTTAGCAGCACCGTAAGGACAGCAGACATCAAGCGGAATCAATGCCATGGACCCAGCTGTGCTTTGCAAAGTCTTCGGAGAAGATTGAGCAGTGCTGACCACACTACTAATTTCCATCAGGTGGTGTGGTGTGGCGAAGCCCGCGCCCCACCCCACCCCGCTCCTGCTGTACGCCTGTTCTTCAGATCTTCATTATGGGCATGTGTCATCGGGAAAAGTCAACTTACGATGCTGATGGCGATTGGTTTATTTCTGTCCAACTGTTGTCTGTTAGACTACGTGATAGAGATGAGAGGGGCTCAGTGTTTTGATGGTCAGACGCTGTGCCCTGAGAGTCACCTAGGCACTCTTTACCGACCTTGAGTGGATGAGGGAGGACGTTGCATTGTATATAATGCAGAATTGACACTGGACTCTAACTGGTGACGTTTGCACTGACAGTGATCCCAGTACTCATGGTACCAGATGGAACTGGAGAGGTGGGAAGTGCTGGGCGCCACGTGGCTCTCCCCCCGAGTGCACTTGCCACAGGTAAAGGAGTATGCTCGGCGGGGAGAGGGTGTCAGCGCGTGGGACAGGCGTTTGGAACTGATGGTTTGTCGTCGTCACTCAGCCTTGTCCAATCCCCTTGTACTTGGGACAGGCGTTTGGAACTAATGGTTTGTCGTCGTCACTCAGCCTTGTCCAATCCCCTTGTAGGAGAATGACATCTTCCTGGGCTGGGAAAAAGGAGCTTACAAGAAATGGGGAAGGAGTAAGAAAAAGGGTGCAGACCTCACTCTGGAAGAGATGAAGAAACAGGCTGCTGTGCAGTGTCTGCGGTCAGCATCTGACGAGGTATGTTTGCGGTTCACTTCTTGGTGCTGGGGGAGGGGCCCCCAGAAACGGACCAGCGCAGTGACTCGGCCCTGGAGACTGGGGACAGCAAGCTCTTTCTCAGCTGAGCCCAGAGTGTGCCTCTGTATCAAGTGTTCCAGAGCATGCCATCCGTGTAACCAGAGCACACGTCCTTTCATTCTGTTCCACATAGATAGCTTTTCCGGTTGTGTTGTCTTTGTTCTCTTTAGTGTTTGACATTTCTTCAAATAATAGACCCATAGGTGGCACGCGGGTCTCTGTGTCCCCAGATGGCACATGGGTCTCTGTGTCCCCAGATGGTGTGTGGGTCTGTGTGTCCCCAGATGGTGTGTGGGTCGCTGTGTCCCCAGATGGTGTGTGGGTCGCTGTGTCCCCAGATGGTGTGTGGGTCGCTGTGTCCCCAGATGGTGTGTGGGTCTCTCTGTCCCCAGATGGTGTGTGGGTCTCTGTGTCCCCAGATGGTACGTGGGTCTCTGTGTCCCCAGATGGTGTGTGGGTCTCTCTGTCCCCAGATGGTGCGTGGGTCTCTGTGTCCCCAGATGGTACGTGGGTCTCTGTGTCCCCAGATGGTGTGTGGGTCTCTGTGTCCCCAGATGGTACGTGGGTCTCTGTGT